AATGCACATCATCACTGGAATGTTTTTAATAAATTGTAGCACATCCACACTATGTAATTCTGTAGTCCTTAGAATGAAGTAGATCTCTATGTGCAGTGTGTTAAGGTCTCCAAGACATACTATGAAAGTGAAAAGCTCAAGGTGCAGGAACAATACTTATAGCAAGATCCCACATGTTTATATGTGGTATGTATGTAAATGCACAGATATAGATCTGGAAGTGTGTACACCAGCCTTGTGAGGGCTCACTAAGGAATGGCACGGGGGTAGGGAAAGGTGAAGGGAGGACTCTACCTGTGTTAAAAATAACTGTTTTTTAAAAACGATTTATGATAGCAAAAAATAAAATATTTAGACAAAACTTAACAATAAATGTCCAAAATCTATGTGAGGAAAGCTATAAAGCACTCTTGAAAGACACAAATTAGATATGAACAAGTGGAAACACACCATAGAGAGGAAGAATCAACACCATAAAGATGTCAGTTCTTCTTAAACTAATTTATAAACGTGATGTAATCCCAGTAAAAATACCCCCAAGGTTTTTTTTTCTGGATCTAGACAAGTTGATTATAAAATTCATTGTGAAAGGCAAGCATGGAAAACAAGACAAGTGTTTATCACACTAATTACTGATTTAGATGTCTTTCTCCTGTGCATGGCCTTAACTGGCCTATTGTTCTTGGTGTCCTAACATAATCTCTGACATATAGTGGGTACTCCACGATGGTTGACTTTCCTGAGAGCACACTCAGAACTACTGAGCACTTATGTTCTACATGTCCTACCCCACCCCCGGCCATGTCATTTATATCTCTAGCATGTAATAGATAAGCTGGCCCTTATTTATGTTGCTCTATCTTTGTTATTTCAAGTAGTTTCTCTGAAGCTAAGTGGTTTTGTTTGGTTTTGTTCTAGTATGCTTTAACCTCAGCCCTTTGGGGTCTCATTTTTGCAAATGTGATACTTTTTTAACTTGCTACCATAGGTGAGTTCTGCTTTTCACTGCAATGCTTTTCTGGAAACTGCCTAAATTAAGTAGATTTTATTTTTATATGATAATAATGGGTGTTATGATTCTAACAAAGGAGTGAGAATCAAATAACCTTTGTCAAAGATATATCATACAATCAAAGATGTAGGCATGATCATTAGTGATTTAAAATATTTTAATATACACTATTAAAAGACTATTAATTTTGCATTGACCATGCAAGATATTTTAATATGTGATAAAGGAGGCCCATACTCTACATAAAAATGCATCTCTTTGCTGGTATAAATTCGACAATTACAGTTTTAAATATTTGATTTCTTTTACCAGATCTGAGCAGCATTTCAGGGCGTGGTTTCAATGGCTTGTTTCCTTTTTTAAGGAAGCTTGAATTTTCGCTTCATTTCTCTTGAAAACACTTCCCTGTAGAAAGCAAAAGCAGGAAATTCAGTTTATTTCATTGACATTAGAATTAAGGAAGCTTAGTGTTGTGTTATCGCAAAATAATTTTCATTGTGTTATCGCAAAATAATTTTCAAATGAGAATTCATGAATCCAAATTTTATTGAGCCCGTTTCTCCAATTGCTGCAACCCTTTGGTTTCTTTTCCGGAAATATTACCTAGATATTATCACAGTCATGGAACAATTTTACATGTGTATTTTTATTCCTCCAGGGACTTTAATTGTGAAAACTGGAGGAGCATTTTATACATTTTTGTCACCTAGATGTCAGCTGCTCCTTAGGATCTAGAGGATATTGGGTCAAATTCCAGTCGATGGCCCTCTCCAAGTTCTGGCCGACTCCTGGAAAGATTAGTTCTCATCGTCCCAGTTCCTGCTTCCAGGGAAACAGTTTAGACTATAGATTTTTACCATCCTAGGCAAACTCTCCCTGTCTGTACAGTTTTGTTTTGTTTTTTGGTGAGGAAGACTGGCTCTGAGCTAACATCCATTGCCAATCCTCTTCTTCTTCTTCTTTTTTTTTTTTTTTTTGCTGAGGAAGATTAGCCCTGAGCTAACGTCTGTGCCCATCTTCCTCTGTTTTGTATGTGGGATGCCACCACAGCATGGCTTGATGAGTGGTGCATAGGTCCATGCCTGGGATCCGAACCTGTGAACCCTGGGCTACCAAAGTAGAGCGAGCGAACTTTAACCACTATGCCACCAGGCTGGCCCTTCTGTACAGTTTTGATCTAAGTATGAAATCTGGTCCCTTTTTGCTGTGATTTCTACAAAATTCATTCATAAAAGGTGTTTGTGTTTGTGTGTGTGTGTTTAGCAGATTTTACTAAAGATTTGGGGAAGATTGAAAGATATTTACATCTCAAAATAGAAATAATGAATGCATACTCCAGCCTCCTATCATGTTGCTTGACCTATTTCCTTCTATTGTAGCCCCTCTCTACTCTGCTGACTTACCTCCTCCTACCTCCAAGCCTGTTGGTCCTAATACAGTGTAGGTAGATTAGCCATCTTTTTTGCTTTGGCTTCATCTGACCTTTCTCTCAGTGACTCATCCTCTGTGTACCTCTCCTCCTCATTCTCAAACTAACTTAGATATTTTCCTTAACATAGATGATTTCATTCAAGAATTATTCTCATATCCAATTTTAGGATTTCCAATTTAGGATTTAATCTCATATCTGATTACTCTCATATCCGATCTTTCTCACCTTGCTATATTTTGGATCAGATTCTCATTCATCTTGCTTTTGTGTGTGTGTGTGTGTGTGTGTGTGTGTGTGTGTGAGGATGATTAACCCTTAGCTAACATCCAATGCCAATCCTCCTCTTTTTGCTGAGGAAGATTGGCCCTGGCTAACATCCGTGCCCATCTTCCTCTACTTTATATGGGACGTGGCCACACCATGGCTTGACAAGCAGTGTGTAGATCCACACCCTGGATCCGAACCTGCGAACCCCGGGCTTCCGAAGTGGAGCTCTTGAACTTAACTGCTGCACCACTGGCCCAGCCCGTCATCTTGCTTTTTTAATGCCCCCCACCACCCATTTCTTTCCCCTCCTTCTCTCCCTCTACAGAAACATACCATGTAGCTCTAGTCTCAAGCCTTTTTCCTCCCAAAGCCTTCTGAGAGTTGCCCCTAGAAGAAAATGGTGGAATTCCTCCGCGTTGTGAGGTGTGTATGAGCTGGTGCTGATGGTCTAAGCCTCAGTGTTCTGGAGAGTGGGATGGTGGGGTGGGGGTGTTTTCTCCCTGCTCATACCCCAAGCACTCTCCCTTAGTCCTGCACCAGCAGCCTGGAACCCTACAATTATTCCTTTGAAATTTGTTTTGCAGGCTTTCTTTAAAGTTTGTTTTGCACTCTCATCTTTAAATTACTGGTTAAAGAGAAGTGAGTTATACGTTTAATTAAACTTCTCAAAAGAGCAGAAAAGGTGACACAAAAACTTTCAAGTTCTTACAAGCTGCTGTTATTTACAAAGATACCACAAAAACACCCTTTACCCCCTCCTGTGGCTGTTTCACTGTTGAAATCTTCACACTCTACCGTTGGGCTCTGTAACCTGCCCTGTTCATTTCATCATCCTGATTTAGACAACCTGCGTCGCATTCTTTGGGAATTCTACTCTGAACTGCCTTTCTGCTGGTGTCTTCTTATGATATGTTCTCTCCACAGCATGAGCAGCTACTGCTCTTATTGACTAACATCCAGTACTTTTTCTACTCTGTGCTCATTTCTGAGTAGTTAACAGCTTCTGGAAAATAGATCACTGGCTTTACCCTCCTGGGATTTAAAATAGGCACATTTTAAAAATTATATCTTTCTGGGGCCAGCCCGGTGGCATAGCGGTTAAGTTCGTGCGCTCTGCTTCAGCGGCCCAGGTTTGTCTGCCAGATCCCAGACTGGACCTACACGCCACTCAGCAAGCCCTGCTGTGGCGTGTCCCACATATAAAGTGGAGGAGGATTGGCATGGATGTTAGCTCAGGGACCATCTTCCTCAAGCAAAAAGAGGAAGATTGGCAACAGATGTTAGCTCAGGGCCAGTCTTCCTCTCCAAAAGAAAAAAAAAATATTTATATATATGAAGATTGAAAGAGAAATATGACATCAGAAGGCTGAAAGGAACTTCGAGATGGTCTATGTGTCACCCTGTTACATTGGGCTGTTCTCTGTACAGCCATCCTAGCAGAAGCTTGGTGAAATGCGTGGACAGTGTGGAGAGGTGGAGGAATAGTAGGCTGTAAACAGGAGACACGTCTCAATTCCTGCTCTACCATTTCCTAGCCATGTGAACTTGGGCAAGTTACTTAAGTTCCCTGAACCTTAAGTGGTTTCTTCTTCTGGATAATGAGGAGAATATTACCTACCTCCCTAGCATGACAGATGCTAGCCAATCACATGCCTTTGTACAGAATATAAAAAGGCATCCTGGGGCTGGCCCGTGGTGTAGTGGTTACGTTTGCACGCTCTGCTTGGGCGGCCCGGGATTCACGGGTTCAGATCCTGGGCACAGACCTGCGCACCACTTATCAAGCCATGCTGTGGCAGGCATCCCACGTATAAAATAGAGGATGATGGGCACAGGCATTTCTTCCACATTTCCTCCTTCCAATCCTTTTATTTCTCATACACAAGCTAATATAATCTTGGGAGCCATCCAGTTCAAGATTGAGTCTGATAAAGGGATGTACTTCCCAGACCAGTAACTGATTCTCCCAGACTCCAGTGACAGAAAAAGATGCAAATTTATTAAAATATGTGAATGTTCTTTAAAGATTTATTTTGTTGTGAATTGTTCCGTGTCGTAACAAAACTGCTGTGTTTTATATCATAACTTAAACATGATGAACAAAGTCATATATTTCATTTTTCCAGCATGTGGGCTAAGAATAAAATCTTGGTGCTGGAATTGAACGTTGTATTCTCCAGGCAAAGGAAATGGACATTTATTGGATGTTATTGCTGCTTTCTTCACCCTAATGACATTATGAAAGCTCTTTGAATAATATAATTTGAAAATATTGTTTCTGTGTTTCAGGTCATGCAAGACAAGATAATCTGCCTTCCGAAAAGAGTTCAGCCTTCTCAGAACCACTCTTCCGTCTCGAATGTCTCTCAAGCAGTTGCCAGTACCACCCCACTGCCTCCACCTAAACCATCTCCTACCAACTCCGTCCCGGTGGAAATGAAAGGACTGAAGACGGATTTGGACCTTCAGCAGTACAGTTTTATAAACCAGATGTGTTATGAGCGAGCCCTCCACTGGTATGCCAAGTATTTCCCTTACCTTGTCCTCATCCATACCCTGGTCTTCATGCTCTGCAGCAACTTTTGGTTCAAATTCCCTGGTTCCAGCTCCAAAATAGAACATTTCATCTCAATCCTGGGGAAGTGTTTTGACTCTCCTTGGACCACACGGGCTTTATCTGAAGTGTCTGGGGAGGACTCAGAAGAAAAGGACAACAGGAAGAACAACATGAGCAGGTCTAACACCATCCAGTCTGGTCCAGAAGGTAGCCTGGTCAACTCTCAGTCATTAAAGTCAATTCCTGAGAAGTTTGTGGTTGACAAATCCACTGCAGGGGCTCTGGATAAGAAGGAAGGCGAGCAAGCGAAGGCCTTATTTGAGAAGGTGAAGAAGTTCAGGCTGCATGTAGAAGAAGGTGATATACTATATGCTATGTATGTGCGCCAGACTATACTTAAGGTTATAAAATTCTTAATCATCATTGCATATAATAGCGCCCTGGTTTCCAAAGTCCAATTTACTGTGGACTGTAATGTTGATATTCAGGACATGACTGGATATAAAAACTTTTCTTGCAATCATACCATGGCACACTTGTTCTCAAAACTCTCCTTTTGTTACCTGTGCTTTGTAAGTATCTATGGATTGACATGCCTTTATACATTATACTGGCTCTTCTACCGTTCTCTAAGGGAATACTCTTTCGAGTATGTCCGGCAGGAGACTGGAATTGATGATATTCCAGATGTAAAGAATGACTTTGCTTTTATGCTTCATATGATAGATCAGTATGATCCTCTGTATTCCAAGAGATTTGCAGTGTTCCTGTCTGAAGTGAGTGAAAACAAATTAAAGCAGCTCAACTTAAATAATGAGTGGACTCCCGATAAACTGAGGCAGAAGCTACAGACGAATGCCCATAACCGGCTGGAATTGCCTCTTATCATGCTCTCTGGCCTTCCAGACACTGTTTTTGAAATCACAGAGCTGCAATCTCTGAAACTTGAAATCATTAAGAACGTAATGATACCAGCCACCATTGCACAACTAGACAATCTCCAAGAGCTCTCTCTACACCAGTGCTCCGTCAAAATCCACAGCGCGGCACTCTCTTTCTTGAAGGAAAACCTCAAAGTCTTGAGCGTCAAGTTTGATGATATGAGGGAGCTGCCCCCTTGGATGTATGGACTTCGGAATCTGGAAGAGCTGTACCTGGTTGGCTCTCTAAGTCACGATATTTCCAAAAATATCACCCTTGAGTCTCTGCGGGATCTTAAAAGCCTTAAAATTCTTTCTATCAAAAGCAACGTTTCTAAAATCCCTCAGGCAGTTGTCGATGTTTCCAGCCATCTCCAGAAGATGTGCATACATAATGATGGCACCAAGCTGGTGATGCTCAACAATCTAAAGAAGATGACCAACCTGACAGAGCTGGAGCTGGTCCACTGTGACCTGGAGCGCATTCCTCACGCTGTGTTTAGCCTGCTCAGCCTCCAGGAATTGGACCTCAAAGAAAATAATCTGAAATCCATAGAAGAAATCGTTAGCTTTCAGCACTTGAGAAAGTTGACAGTGCTAAAACTGTGGCATAACAGCATCACCTATATCCCAGAGCATATAAAGAAACTCACCAGCCTGGAGCGTCTGTCCTTTAGTCACAATAAAATAGAGGTGCTGCCTTCCCACCTCTTCCTATGCAACAAAATCCGATACTTGGACTTGTCCTACAATGACATTCGCTTTATCCCACCTGAAGTCGGAGTTCTACAAAGTTTACAGTATTTTTCCATCACTTGTAACAAAGTGGAGAGCCTTCCAGATGAACTCTACTTCTGCAAGAAACTTAAAACTCTGAAGATTGGGAAAAACAGCCTATCAGTACTTTCACCGAAAATTGGAAATTTACTATTACTTTCCTACTTAGATGTTAAAGGCAATCACTTTGAAATCCTCCCTCCTGAACTGGGCGACTGTCGGGCTCTGAAGAGAGCTGGTTTAGTTGTAGAAGATGCTCTGTTTGAAACTTTGCCTTCTGATGTCCGGGAGCAAATGAAAACAGAATAACTTATTTTTGTTTAAAGTTTGACTGACATGCTTCTACCAAATACAGTATAAATAATTAGATAGTCTTAATGCCTTTCCTATTTTATTTTTATTTTTTCTTTTTCACACGAAACAAAATGTACACAAAGATTGAGTAAGGAGTATGTGTTTTTTAATAAAAATTTAATTGTATTTTTTCAACATTAATATTTTAAAGATTTATTTGTCCTGAAACGTAATGTATCTATTATTGTTTTCTACTGAAAGAAATAGATAGTTCCATCTGATCGGTGTTTTTGGGTTTTTGGTTTTTTTTCAATTCATTCTTGTGAAAGGGAGGGAATTTTAAGTTGCATGCTTTTTGGTATTTTTTAAATAGATGAGGATATTTTGCCAAGGTCATTTTTAGCTTGTTTACACCCGTAAAGAGTCCTTGTTTTTGTATTCATTGTGTCTGTACCAAGGAATCTGTGCTAGTTATTTTAATAACAACTGCCTTCTCCATTTTGGCCAAGTCCTTCATTCTACAGAAAACTCTTATCTGGAGTTTAAATTCACATAAGTGCATTGTCACAGACTATTATTTTTAAATTTTCCCCCCACCTCCAACAGAACCCTAAATTATGTTACTTCATATACCTGATAGTTCAAGTTATCCTTCGGCAAAGATATTGTAAGTGGGTGAAGAAAATAATCTTCCATAGTTGGCATGCTTGAATTGGTCATTTATAATTTAACTGATTTGCATTTTTACCAACATTTTAAAAATATTTAAAAACTAAATACAGAGGCTCCCCGCCCACCCCGACCTTGAATTTCAATATGGCTATATAGTACTAGTGAACAACCTTAGAAAAGCTAGATTTATTTTAATTAAAATAGTTAATTAAATTTAAAAATCAGAATTAGAAGCCTGTTTTTTGAGTAATTTAATCATCTTTAATATCTTGATATGTGGGTACGTCAGAGGGAAAAAATTTCACTACTAAATCACTCTGTTAAAGAGCTGGTGCACTCCACTCAGGCCCGCTGACTCCTCTGGCAGTGTGGCAGTGGTAATCTATTCAAGTTCTGCCTGTTGCACAAAATAATCCACTTATATATATTACACACACACATATTAATCAATTTCCCTCAAGTCTGCCCTTGCTGTGAATGCTAGTGATCCAAGCACAGGAACTCTATCTGCTCTTTTTGACTTAAAATAAGTATCTTATCTAAAATGGTTCTGTTACTTTTTTTTTAAGTGTGAATACATTGCTAAGTGGATGTCACTTAGCAATAATTTTTGCCTGATTGTCAGCAGAGCTTTTATTTATCTTGGTACTTAAAAATACAACAAGTATGGGTCTTAGGCAAAATTTTTCACTGACAATTAAGCTGTGTGAAATAGGAAAATGAAAATACTAGTTGTGCCCTCAATCTGGGACCAATACTACTGATCATGGGAATTTTGTTTTATGTACCAAATCACATTGACCATTTTCCAAGCCCTAGTCTGATCTAAGAAAGTTGCCTGACTTAACAATGAAAGCAAGTAGGAAGATGATTGGGGGTTTCAAAATGCTGTTTTTAAATTTGCCCTTGATCCTGGTGACTTTGCTCAACAATGCTACTTTAAATCATGTATGGAATACAACTATAGGAACTACTCAATACATATATTGAGATATATGTACCTCAATCGTGTTTTAAATGTTATGATACATCGTGGGTGAAGGATTTGGAAAAGAGATGCTTTTCATTTATTTAATAATCTAATCATGTAGACCAAAGTGCTTCACTGTTTCTGCTCTGTGTTAAAGCGTTAGAATGGTGATTTTGTATAGCTGATTTATTTCGACCTGGAATTGAAATGTGTTTAAAATAGTAACATGGATATATTTCTTGTAGGATAAAATATTCAATTCCAGAATATTGTTAGGATCCCGATTATTAACAATGTGTTGTATTTAGCAACATAGCCCTGTTTTAAACAAACAAACAAAAAACCTGGAAGATTGTCCGTGGCTGAGCATGATGAAAACACTGTGTTGAAAGGTCAGCTTAGGTAACTACTGGTAAACCTGGGTGCACTGTTTTTGTGGATAAAATTTATAGTTGTTTTCTATATCACCCTTCAAGAGGGATCTATTCAGGTTAAAAATCATATTTATGCTGAGGTCTTTATCTGGTGTTAACTCGTAATCTCATATGGGTTCATAACTGAAGTAAGTCACTAATAATTAGTTTTTATCACTCTTAACAATTTGCTCAAAATTCCAAAAGAACTTGGTTTACATTCTTAATGAGTTCACAAGCTGACCCTAAACCTAATAACCTAATAAATAAGTTCTAAATGACATCCAATAAATCAGTATACTTCTAACTAAAAAGGAAAATTCATAGATATTTCTGTTAGATTTTATAAAAATTCAAAACTCTCAAACTTCATCTTGAGTCTAAATTTTCTGACTCTGGCCCTTTTTAATATTGTTGATTTTTGTTCACATTCTTAAATAAAAAGCATTCAATTACTGTTTAGCTTTTAAATAGGAAACTCAGGTAAACGAACTGCTGACTTTTCTGAAGTCCTTTCACTGATCAACTCAGTATAACGGGTGTTGACCTAACCCCTTTCTGTATTTTATAAGTGCTCTTGCTAAAAAAGAACAGCTAGCTCTGTTTCTCCAGGCTCTGTAGAGTGCGTGAGAAAGTGCTTATGTAAATATAAAAGCATTGTATGTATTTATAACTCCAATGGCTGCCTGAAGCCCATAATGGGTATACTTTCTGGTCAGTTTTAATGGTTAAGTGTAGAACAGACAATTGTCTGGTGATGGGCTGGTTGAAACAGAGCATGTAAGTACATCCCAATGGAACTCGCCTAAAAAGACCACACCTCAGAAAACTAGCTATGTGTTGAGTTTTGTTTTTAACACAACACTTTTAATATGAAGGTTCTTGATGCAGTGAAACCTGTTATTTACAATTATAATTTTTTTCTTATTGCTCACCCACCCTTTTCCCTGGGATTACATTAGTTATTGTAACGAGTTCTAACAGTTTACACAGCATCCTGTGCCGCATCCTGAACTGCTTCTTCAGAAAGGCTTGGAAAATATGCCTGCTATGAGTATTTTGTTCATGTCAAGGTGCCTCCTCACCTGCCCCTCAAGCCATCTTTGTAGAGAGGAGCTTGAATGGCCTGGAATGTTCTTTGTGTTACTTGGGATGAGGAAAGTCCACATCCTTGCAATACGCTCTTTTAAGATTTCTGATATCAAGAAAGAGAAAACAAAACCTTTACTTGTATCTCTTGTTACCATTTCCCCCAAGAGGAGTTTTGCTGTTATTTTCCTAATTCTAATATAAGAACAGTCCATTTTTAAGTAGTTTATGTTACTCTCTAATTTCATACCAAATACCTGCTCAATAGTAATGGTATATTTACTTAAACAGCGAACATTTATGATCTATCTTTATGAAAACTGTCAGCAGTACTTTGTAAACAGATAAAATAAATTTCAATATAATTTCAGTTGTGTTTAGAGACTAAGTTAAGGTTCAATTAACATTCCCCTATTAATCCTGAATGTGATAATGCTATTCAAGCAGTTCATATTTTTGGTAGGTTCTCAATAACTCAGGGTGGGATTCCATACTAACTTTAAGTTGGCGAAACAAATTAACGACACAGCACAGTTATTAGTAAGGGGAATGCCTCAAGGGTCTGTAAGATTTTCTCATCTTTTCTTGTCTATTCAGAAACATTGTAAGAAAACTTGGACAGTCTCTACCAGACTTGCATTAATTTTTCAGATTTAGGCCTCAGTGACGTGCTTCTAATACAATTTCATACCAGCCTTCCAAACTAGGTATCCACTCGTACTCCATCTTCCCAGAACAATTAACAGATAAAGGCAACATCCTTAAGTTCATTTTGGGAGAGGGAAGAGGGTCTCCTTCCACCCCAAGGAATTTTTTTTAATCAGAGGACCACGAAAAGGGGGGTATAACTTTGAACAATTTAATTTGCTGGCCATGTTAAATAACAGTTCCTATGCATGGTTTTTAGTATGGTAAAAATTTGCTTTCTTCTGAATACCTTTCCCTTTCCCACCTGATTCTGCCTCTTGCCTGAATATTTTCACTGGGGTTGAAACTCAATGCCTTATGTGCTCACTCAGTTTTCTTTCTGCAGCTTGTTTTTTCTCACTATCTGTGTGTGTTCAGATTGTGTCAAATGCTGGCAAAACCTCTAAGACTGTCAAGAAAATGCTTGAAAGTTGATTTGTCCTAGTGCAAATTCATGATAAAATGTCTTAATGTTATTTGGCTATGTAATATATAGGAACAGAAAATAACTTAAATAAAGTCGTTTTTGTAATTTAAAATTGAGATTTGTCCCTTTCTTACTTGTTTTTAGAAATCATGTTTCTCTGTTGCATTTCTCTTGTGTTTTTTCATAAGCTGTTACAAAGGCTCCCTGTACTCTGCAGGAAATGGGCTGCATGCAAAATTTCACTTTGTGTTGAGCTAGTTTCTGCAATTGTGACTAATTATTTCCTTCCTTAATTCACTGTCCTGCATCTACCTAAGGTGCCTCTGGAGTTTCATTTGAGTAATTAGTGCCTTAATATGTAATCTGGTGTGCAATCTCTGTGCATTTGCCAGATCAGATTGTACAATTACTGTCCAGCCCAGCTTTCAGTAAATACTTTTATGGTAATGATTATGGTTACTTAAAGGAATCAGAATGCTTCTACACAGCTAGGATGCCTCCCGTAGCAAACTACGTACACTCCAGGGTTAGGAAAGCCCTTCATAAGAAAACTTTATGTACCCCTTATGCGTAAGAAAATTGTGATTGGTAACTTTTGAAGCTAAGTTGTGACTTTAAATATTTTTCTATAGTCATTTATGACTCATTTATTTTACTGATAATCGACTGATAGTGCTTTGGAGAAGGACTATTGAGATGAGGAAGGATTGAGTGTGGTGAGAGAGGCCAGGTAAATGTGTATGTCAGAAACTTAGAAGGGATTGTGTGAGAGCTCTGGGGAAATTTTGGAGACCGGAGCTGGGAAATGCAAATCCAGTGATTTCAGTGCAATTTGCACATAAGACTCTCTGTCCACGGCCACCTTCCACTGTTCCCATCTTCCAGTCCTTTCATTTATACAGAATATTGAGAGAAACACTGAAATAAATTGATTCAGTTGTTCATTAGCATTGCCTAGCAAGATAGAAATAAGCATCTTGG